GTGCCGCCTGAGCTGGCTAGCTCTTCTTTGAGGAAGCATCAATTAAAACAAGAAAAAGCATTCAAGCTGATGGATAAGAGAATCAGGATCTCTTAGCCTGGAAAAGTGTGGAGGGGTGACTGCAATGGGTTTTAAGTACACAGGAGATAATGGCTGGTTGTCGGCGACTTCGGGGAGAACAGAACAAAAGGAAATAGGTTTCAAGAGGGAACGTGGAGATTCTGAACAGAGATAAGGAATGAATTACAATCTAGAGACAGGACCGGGGCAGCATGCAGAGGGGACAGATCCCTGGTGCATGTGGTGCTCTGCAGGTTCCCAGGAGGGACCGGGCTCCGCCACAGGCTTCTCCCCTCTGCTGGCCTTTAGAGAGCTCCCAGTCTCCTCCATCACTCATCCTTCCCACACTCCCTAACACTCTCTTTTAAAATCAAATAGTTTTATGATGCACTAAGTCACAGGCATATCAGTATGGCTCACAGGACCAGCAACATAATTTGCGAGGCCCGGGATGAACTGAAAGCAGAGAGCCCCTCATTCAAAAAGTAAGGATTTCAAGGCAGCAAAAGCAGAGCACTAAAACCAACAAGAGGCCCTTCTAAACGCAGCGCCGGGGCAGCGGCACAGGTCACACACCCGCGGGTGGCCCTGGCCCTGATGGCTCAGGCTGGTAAGGTGCAGAGAACAAGGAGGCTGGACCACGTGGCCTCCAAGATCCCTTAAGAACCTGTCAAACAATGGACCAAGCATGGAGCAAGCGGGTTCGTGAGGTCGTGGTGGTGGGAGAAGGGCCTCATGAGGAGGGGAGGACAGAAGAGAACCTGCCGATCCGCCCTGCAGCTGTGGGAGGGTCTGGATGAGGGGTGTGCACGGGGACACCTGCGAAGTAGGTGGAGCACCCGGCCACCCCTCTGCGAAGATCCCTCTTCCCCAGTACCTCCAGTCGGTCCTCAGCCTCCAGCCCCTGAGCGCGCGCCAGGACGAGCCCTCTCTTCCCAGCACTGCCCGCACCCCAGGCCCCTGCGTCTCAGCCTGTGGCCTGTGTCTCTCTCTATTCCCACTCTCTGGGCTGCAAAACTGATGAGGCTGATGCGAGCTCTGGTGGTAAGGGCTAATCACGTCGCAACACCTAAATCTATTCTTTCTAAACTGGTTCCCTTAAAAGGAAAGAAAAGATCAAATCCAACCCTCCAGGGCCTCGGAGAACAGCCTAAAGTGGAATCAGGTAAGTCCAAAGTTTAATTTAATGTGGGTTCTTTCATCGTAAACATCTAGGTGAATTCTACCCTCCAGGCGATAATATACTTGTGTCTATTTTCATATTTTTAAGGAACTGTAATATGTCAAGTTACTTATATCAAGAACAAAATATGTTAGCTACGTTCTCGTTTTTCTCCAGGCATAAACAAAATATTTGATCCAGTGCCAGTGTGACAAGAAGCCACACCGTTACGCGGGAGCCAGTTGGTATTTATCTTATTGTTTTTTTTAATTTGGAATAATTAGAAGTTCAAAAACACTGGTTCATAAGGTGACAAAACTCATTTTTCAAAGACTAGCTGTGGGGTTTGGCCAAGGCCAGTCTATCACCTCAGCTCTGGAAAGTTCATACCAGCCCTTGGGACCCATAAAATTAGCATATGTTCTTCCAGAACAAAATGTCTGGTTCATTTTGATGTAACCGATTCTGTCATAGCCCAGTTTCTTGATAACACAAAAGAAGTAAGTACCAGCTCTTCCAACCATGTACTCTTTGAGTTGGCAAGAAAGGATGAAGCTGGCCAACACAGAAAAGGTGGGTTTAGTGGACGTCCGTGTGCATTCTGCGCATTTTTGTCACGAAAACATTTATGAGAACAGATGCTTCAACCTCACCCCTGCCCCACTGACCTCTACACGTACGAGCTGATGCTCCACATTCATCCCGAGGCTTCGTCACACCCCCGGCGGGAAAATGCGGGTCAGTGTCCTTGAGACAACATTTGCCTGTTCATTACTGGTTGCCTTTTAATGAACACCGACAAGAAGGTCAGTGTCAGGGACCAAGCAGAAGGCCCAAGGCCACGCATGGCTGTCCCAGTCATACCGACGCTCCTGGAGGGGTGATTGTCTCCCTAGGTCGCCATGAGGGACCGATGCGCTCAGCGCTCCAAGTTAGAAAGGTTCGCTAATAGTAGCTCTTTTACAGATGCCGTTTTCTTTAATCCCCTTAAGAATCTCGTGATTAACAGGTTAACAAGCCCAAACTACCAAATAACAGCTGGAATTTTACCCCAGTTCAATCAAATGCAGAGCCTGTGCTCACACTCCCCACTGCGTTTGTGACTGAGCAGGGGACCCCGTGGGGCCTTCCCCGGACAGACCTCCGCGTCCTCCGCCTGCCTCTTGTCTGCAGGGAAACTGGAGCCTCCAAGGTCTTCCCTGAGTTCCAAAGAGCAAGATGTAATCAGAAAAGGGAGAAAATGTAGAAACAGGAAAAGAGCCAAGCGAGACAGAATAATAACAGTTTAGCCATTACAGTCAAGGGCCCTTGGCTCCTTCTCAAGGGCTGTAGGTGCGATTCTGAGCCATCTCCTTGAGCTGCTTGGCCACTTCCTCAAAGAGGCCTTGGCTGACCACCCCAGTCCCGCACTCCTGCCCCTGGACCCCAGCACCCTGCCCGTCTCTCACGGAGCGCTTCCCGCCATCAGCAGTTTTCTTAGTTACCACCTGTCTCCCCTACCAGGGTGTCCGCCTCCTGAGCCCTGGGACCTGGCACGGTGCCTGGCTCCTCGGTCGCACTCGGGTGGCCACCGGGTGCATCAGCCCACTGCACCACGCAGCCCCTGGTGCACCAGCTGTCTTCAGGGAGCACCGTCCCGAGCCGGACGCACCCTCGTTGAGGCAGTGCGTCAATCGCGCTGGCATAGACTTCTATTATGTCCACTACTGCTGGTGCCTATCACATGTTAAGTGCTTGCCGTGTACCAGGGTACTAACCATTTGATACGATTATTCCATTTACGACTGTTTTGATCTTCATTTTAAAGAAGAGGATCCCAGAATTAATTTAATGTGGTTATAGGGCTTAAAAGTCAGACAGCTAGTAAGTGGTGGGACCAGAGCCCGAATCCAGTTTTGTCTGACTCCTAAACACCACCGTGACGTCCTCCCTCCCCTGTCAAAAGCATTTCCAAGCGTCTCATTTAAACGTCTGAGAAACACTGAACTGAACAATGGAAACCCCAACTGCGTGAAGAAAACATTTCTAAACAGCTGTGGAGGTTTCTGGATTACAGGCAGGAAGGTGAACGCACCCTTTGAAGGCAAAATGGAAAGTGCTTTTCCAAAAAAGAAAAGCCTTAGCCAGCAGGTCATCCCCTGTTCACGGTGTGTCAGGACAATCGTCAATCTCCCCACTTCCGGGAGACCCAGTGGTGAAAGTGGCCTCCCAAAGCCCGGACAGAGGGTGGGTTTGCAAGAAAGGCACTGACTGAGAGAAAACGGCTGCCAAGCGCAGCAGGACTCCCCGCACGACACCCAGCCCTGCCTGCTGCTCGCAGCCTCTGCCCCCAGAGCGTTCAGCAAAATTAGGGAAATGGAGCTGGACGCTTTAGGCAGAGCAAGAATCCTGCAGAGTTTTTAAGGGTATTGTAGACTGCTGGTGTGGTCCGTGGGTTTCCAACATGCATCGCATACCCTGTCTTCTACTCCTGATAAATTCAGGGTCCATGATAAATAATGGGCAGTCAGCTTTGAGATTCATTGAGAGACGCGCTGAGTTGGGGGAAATTTTGGTGAATCCGGCCAGAATGCTAGAGGAATAAGAACACCCAGGGAACCGTGTGACCCGGGGTGTGGAAGGTAAACGCGCTCTTGGGAGGCGGCTGTGACACCACTTTTCAAGGCCAAAAATAGTAAAAAGAGGATGAGAGAAAAAGATGAGGTTTTTGAAGCAACATACAATTTAGAGCTTCCTGGTTTATAGTCAAATGAATGTAAGACTCCAGCGGGAAAGCTAAGGACCTGGACCATCAGGTCACTTAGGCATTTCAGACGATGCTATACAAAGCATGCAGCCTATTAATATTGGGGTCTACATGTCCTTTTATAATTCTTAATATTTGATCATTTTTCAGGCAGAAAAACAGTCTTTATCCCCACTGAATTTACTAGGGAGAAATTCTTTCAAAGACACAGCAGTGTATCCCTCGAATCTGTTGGATCTTCTGCAGTTAACTGTAAAATGGTCCTTATACGTGCACATTTCATGTGTCATTAATTAATTTTAATACTTCAATACTAATGAGTTCTTCTAGAAGCCATATTTCTGTACCGCTGGGAAAGAATCAAAAAAAAAAAAAAGAAAAGAAAGCTGAACCAGAAGTAGAAAAGGTTAGTCCTCTATTATTCTCTCGCCATAGAAAGCACGGTGCAATCCTGTTTTAATAGCAGAGTAAAAGGTATAGCACTAATGTTTCACACTAATAGATTAAATTTGAGTCGCCAATGTAAAATAGAAACATTTCTGATAGTTATGGCCTGGAATTTGGAATCTGAAAAATAAGTACAATCTCTGGAAAATGTTTCTTTGTATTTAAAAAAGGAGGCTATCATTTTAACATTTCTCTTAACTTTGCTAAAAATAATAACCGTGACAGAATGCTTTTGCCCCTGCAAACACGGATGCCAAATGGGAAAAATATTAAAGAACCACAGTGACCCCTACTGGGAAGAAGCAGGATCGTTTCTCATACGCAGCAACTAGTTAACTGCTAAGAGCACGTGTGGGCAAAAACATTCTCTTTCTACAAATGAAATAGGAAGAAATGATAGTATTGTTGCTTACAAAAAATAATATAGTATTCATGCCTGGACCCGACTTGCTTTCTTACTAGCAGTTTTATGTTTTTAAGTGATAGTTTGTGTTTATAATTGTGCCATGTGCATGATTTTGCATGATGACCTTAAACATGACAACTCAGGCATTTCCTCACATTATTCAAAAATCTTCATAAACATTTTTTGTGATGTGCTATGATTTATTTAACTTTTTCATTTTCTAAGAAACTTTCAAAGAATTAAAAATATTTTAAAAGAAACAAACATTTTGCAAAGGAATCCAAATAGGATTCGTGCAGCATTTCAAGGTAAGGGAAGTCCTTGGACAGTTGCTTTAAGAAACTCATACTTTCTGGCTTACTTCACTTAGAATGACATTCTCCAGGAGCATCCATGTTGCTGCAAATGGTGTTATATTGTCAGTTTTTATGGCTGAGTAGTATTCCATTAAAATATCATATGAGATCACTCATATGTGGAATCTAAAAAAACAAAAACAAAAAACACAAAGCATAAATACAAAACAGAAATAGACTCATAGACATAGAATACAAATTTGTGGTTGCCAAGGGGGCAGAGGGTGGGAAGGGATAGATGGGATTTCAAAATTGTAGAATAGATAAACAAGATTATACTGTATAGCACAGGGAAATATACACAAGACGTCGTGGTAGCTCACAGAGAAAAAAATGTGACAATGAATATATGTATGTTCATGTATAACTGAAAAATTGTGCTTTACTCTGGAATTTGACACAACATTGTAAAATGATTATAAATCAATAAAAATGTTTAAAAAAAGAAACTCATAGAGATGATTTGTAATCAAAATATCAATTATTCAATGATCCCTACTCTATTCAAACTATTAATGTTAGATACACTCTGTGAAGGAGCCAACAAAAGAAGGGATGCTGGAGGGACATGATCGAGGTGATTTAAAAGCGCACGAGTGCAAACGATGCAAGGCGGTGCACTGAAGTAATAACACGATGGTCTAAGGAAATCCTAAGGGTGGAAGCAGCCAGCCCTCTAGGAAAGCAATCAGGAGAGCCGTCAAAGAGAATGGCAGCTGAAGACGAGAGGAAAGATACATTCAAGACAGAGTGAATAACAGAAGCAAATTACAGAGGCAGGAGCTCGAACGATTCTCCCAAAGGACCAAAAGGAGATGGTTCCAGCAGAGGGTTTAGAAGGAGCACTTCCCGTCACACAAGAGAAGGGGGCGGAAAGGACATGCCGAGCATCGTTCCATGTCCCAGTCACCACATCAGCAGGTGTACGTGCCCATCTCACCCATCACAGCCCTGAGATTACAGGGGCCATTGACCTCGTTTGAAGATGAGGAAGCTGAATGTCTCAAAGGGGAAGATTCTCGGCCAGTAAGTATATAAGACAAGATCTGAACCCAATCAGTTGTCCTGTGCAGACTATATTTTTTAAAGTGAGAAAATCTTTTCCTTTGCCATCATGTTTCCTCTATTCACTTACTAAGAAAAAGAAAACCGTTTCCTCGTGGAAAGAACGGTGGTGCACTTCAATCAAGCTTGTGTCTCAGTGATCACAAATGTAAAACACATAGCTTCTGAGCAGCTCATGATTGCAATTAAATGACCCAAACTCTTTCCGACTTCTCAAACCACAATCCTCTCTTGCATGTGGAATTTGTGGAAGCTGGAAACTATGACACTGAGAGTAAGGATGCGAAATCCTCTGTAAAACTGCGGGCAGGGCAGTCCCTCTGTTCCCCTCCCAGAGCAGAGGGATGGAGAGTGGGACGTAAGAGCAAGAATGGCAGCGTGGCCTCTTGGGATGGCATTAGGGGCGTTGGACCTGCTCTCCAGCAGCCACACGTGCCCGTGATATTCGTCTACAGGAAAGAACGAACATCCACAGGACCCCCACTGATGGCCACATGCCCCTCACAGATGCCACCCATTTAGTGCTCATGCCCAGGTCACAGGGAACTGGAAGCTGTGGCCGTGCGGCTCAGGGGCACAGCGTTCTCACATTCAAGACGTCAAGTCCGACAACACAAAGTCGGTTCCGATGAGCTAAACTCTCTACCTGGATTTCTCAAATATTCCGCTTGCTGGGAGTGTGTAGGTCACAGCAACGCTCTTCAAAACTCTTTTTCCCTCTCTCCTTTACTTCCCTCACCAACCACACCTATTTCAGCACCTCTCATCTTGCAAAATTCTCATCTTGCACAAAGACAATTGTTTTCCCCAATTAAAAATTTCTACTCCAAAGACACTTTTAAGAGGGTAAAAAGATAAGCCATAGACTGGGAGAAATGTATCCACTGGGAAGAAATATTTGCCAAGCACATACCTGATTAAGGACTTGTATCCAAAATATACAAGGAACTCTTAAAATCCAGCACAGGAAAACAAACAACAGAAAACTACCACTACACACCAATCCGAATGGCTAAAATCCAAAATACTGACAATACCAAGTGCATGTGAAGATAGGGAGAAACAGGAACTTTCATTCATCGCTGGTGAGAATGCAAAACAGTGTGGATGCTTTGGAAGAGTGTCTGGCGGTTTTTTACAAAACTAAACATACTCTTACCATACAATTCAGCAATCACAATCCTTGATATTTATCCAAATGAGTCAAAAAATTGCATCCCCCAAAACACCCCTACACACAGAGATTTATAGCAGCTTTACTCATAATTGCCAAAAATTAGAATCAACTTGATCATCCACAGGTGAATGAATAAGTAGTGGTACAACTGAGCATGACTCAGCAATGTAAAGAAATGAGCTATCAAGCCACCAAAAGACGTAGAGGAACCTTAAAGGCAC